CCTTTGGTTTCCCCAGAACAACAATCCCATTTTTCTTTTAGAGGACATTTCGGCGGCTTCCAGATCGGTGGTATTTCGTTCGTGAATACTGGGCTTTGCCTTTTTCTCCATGGGAATGACTGAGGTGCTCTATTTGGTTGCGAGAGGGCGCCCATTTCTTCGTCGTTGTCGGGCGGATCATCATCGAAAAGATCACGCTGTACATCGTAAATAGCACGACGAAATACTAGCTTCGATATCTTCATCGGGAGTGGGAGATTTTGATTTTGACACGGGGCAGGCCTGTCGTCCCTTTCGAGCATGGGAATGAGGGGGATCAAAAAAATCGGCGTATTTTATGTCATTCGCATTGCCACCCACCAAACCCATCTCATCCCCATCCGCATCACCATTCTCATCCATAAACGCAGAATCTGAACTGTCGTCTTCTTTAGCACTGTTCTGGTCTGCATTATCTTCTTCACCATCCCCACTAATCACACCAAGAATAAGCGGATCAGCTCCCCAATCAATGGCTTCTTCGTCATTGTCATCGTCGCTGCGCATCCCCTTTGCATCCCTCCGTTCAAATACAGTTGTATCAGCATTGAATTTGTCGATCGAAAAGAATCCGTCATTGAGCTTGTGCGGGTCAGGAACAAATTGGATATTGCTCGTGCCGATGGATTTTTTGCTTTTCTCTCGTCCTAGACCCCGTTTGTCGTCATCAATTGACATAGAATGATGACTATCATGCTCATCATCCTCAGTATCCTCCGTTATTGGCCAGTCTTCCTTTCCACTGCGGTCCTCATCCGTAATTTCACCGTTCAGCATATTACCTAGATCGCTACTAACAGAGCCGTTGGAGAGTTCATCCGTTTCGGATGTAAGCCCGAGATCATGCTCCCCATTTTGGGTCTCATGGGCCTTTTTATGAGAGTTGGATTTGGAACGGAGGGTGTTGGCCTCTGATTTTTTTCGTAAATCAAGCTCGTGAGCGGTCTCTTGCGCAGAGACATTAAGCACTCTGTTTGCCTGTTCCCAGATCTGGCACACTGTAAAACCATTGGCATGAATTTCCTGCAGGTGTAGTGTTTGGGAACGAAATGGGTGAGATCTGACAACACCTTTTCGGGTATGCGTGTGCTGAAGGCGTCTTTTCTGAGCTTCAGTGATGTCTGATGCAAGCGGGTCGAGATAGCGCTTTGCCACTTCTATCCATTCTGTATGTAAGAAAGTTGTTGGTTTTAAGAAAACCTCTGGGGCCGAGGAGAGTAACTGGAAAATATCAGTCGTGGTGCAAGGCATCGCCATGACGGCACCGAAGCTGATATTCCTCCCACTGTTGTGTTGGCTTTCGAACAAGTGATTGTTTTCCAAGATATTCTAGATAATCATCATCTTGAAGCCCTAATAATGTCCTCCTCGCAAATGGATAGCTTGCTCCTTTGAAAGTCAGTAGAGAGTGGTAAAAATAATGATATCCTGCCAAGGTATGTTACTTCGCATGCTCTATTTTTTTTTTTTTTTTTTTTTTTTTGGAAAAATCGCTTCCGGAAGAAATGATTGTCCGATCCGGGTCGGCAAGTCCCGGCTGGCTAGCCCGACCAATGTGATGGAATAACTAACTAGTTACGTTAAAGATTTTTAAAAAGTATTGCAGAATTTTGTTCTCTGCAAACGACTCGTCCTACCCATGAAAGGAAACGTAAGGGCTGTCATGATAAATACGATTCTTAGGGACAGCCCCTACCGCTATCAACGAGGAATCCATT